TAGATTTTTTTTTAAAAGTGTATCTTTAAGAGACGAATGAAGTGCTTAAAACGAATGATACAACGAACTGGGTCATTTAAGGATTTCGTCTCAAAGTTAGCATTTGATGCGGGTCGAACAATAGAAATGTTCAGTTTTATGTCATGTGTCCTAACGTTGTTCGAGAATGTAGGAGTAAGGGAAAAAAAATGAAAGATACCCCTGATGAAGATATCCGCAATTATCAGCTGCCAGGGCGAACGTGTAAGATTGTCTTTGGAGTGATTCGGACAGCAGTTGCCTCCCGGAAAAAAAAAATGGGCCGGTGTCTTTGTTTGATTTGACAAGCTGAACTAAGAACAGAAAGATTTCGAAATTGTTTGAGGGAGAATAAATAGCGCCATCTTGACTTTTTAATTGCCCATTGAGTTTGTAAGATAAACTTAGAGTGACGAAGGATTAACGAAGCGAGGAGTGAGGAGAAATAAAGTGTAGATTGAGAAAGGGGATGGCGGTAGTTAATTTGTTGACTTACAGTGAAAAGAGAGGCAAATCGTAGGTAACCAAAGTATTTATGATGACAGTCGAAAAAGGAGAGAGAGTGGTGAGAAATAAAGGAGGAAAGACAATACATTCGAAAGGGAAAAAAAAAGATGGCGAGAATGAGAACATAAACGGAGTAGAAGGATTTAGGCGGGAAGAAAGATTTAGGCGGGAAATGTTTTAGGAGGAAAAGGGATTTTAGGGGAAAAAATGAAGGGAGACGAAGAACGACGAGGTGTGGAGAAGAGGGTGAAAGGAGAAGATAGGAACGAAGAAATGAGAAGGTGAAGAAGATAAGAAAAGTAAATATGAAAATGGCACATTATAATTTTGGAAAAAAAGACAGAAAGAAAGAAATGGTGGAAAGGTTAAAGGAAGAAAAAAAGAGGGTTTCTTTCTTTGACCTGAAAGAAAGAAAGAAAGAAAGAAAGAAAGAAAGAAAGAAAGAAACTGAGAGAACGAAAAATGGTGGAAAGATTAAGAAAAAGAAAGAAATGGTGCAGAGATTGAAGGACAAAAAGAGAAGAGTGGGTAGTAGAAAGAAAGAAAGAAAGAAAGAAAGAAAGAAAGAAAGAAAGAAAGAAACTAAATAGGTGAGAAAGAAAAAAGAAAGAAATGATGGATGGATTAAAGAAAAAAAAGAAGATTAACTAGATTAAAGTAAAAAAAGAAAGAAACAAAAAAGAAGCTAGATGGCTTAAAGAAAGAAAGAAAGAAAGAAAGAAAAGAAAGGAAGGAAGGAATGATGAATGGATTAATGAAAAGATTAGATAGATTAAAGAAAGAAAGAAAAGAAAAGAAAAGAAAGGTTAAATAAAAAAAGAAGAGTGCATAAATATAAAAAAGAGACAAAGAAAGAAGCTTAGATGACACAAAGAAAGAAAGAAAGAAAGAAAGAAAGAAACGATGGAGACATTAAAGAAAGGAAAAATGGTGGAAAGGTTAAAAAACGAAAAGAGAAGTATGGGGAGAAGAAAGAAAGAAAGAAAGAAAGAAAGAAAGAAAGAAAGAAAGAAAGAAAGAAAGAAAAAATGGTGGAGAGGTTAAAAGACGAAAAGAGAAGTATGGGAGAAGAAAGAAAGAAAGAAAGAAAGAAAGAAAGAAAGAAAGAAAGAAAAAAAAGAAACGATAGAGACATTAAAGAAAGGAAAATGGTGGAGAGGTTAAAAAACGAAAAGAGAAGTATGGGAGAAGAAAGAAAGAAAGAAAGAAAGAAAGAAAGAAAGAAAGAAAGAAAGAAAGAAACGATAGGGACATTAAAGAAAGAAAAAATGGTGGGTAGGTTAAAAAACGAAAAGAGAAGTATGGGGAGAAGAAAGAAAGAAAGAAAGAAAGAAAGAAAGAAAGAAAGAAAGAAAAAAGAAACGATGGAGACATTAAAGAAAGGAAAAATGGTGGGTAGGCTAAAAAACGAAAAGAGAAGTATGGGGAGAAGAAAGAAAGAAAGAAAAAAGAAAGAAACAAAGAAAGAAAGAAAGAAAGAAAGAAAGAAAGAAAGAAAGAAATAACGAAAGAAAGTAAGAAAGAAAAAAAGAAACGATGGAGACATTAAAGAAAGGAAAATGGTGGAGAGGTTAAAAAACGAAAAGAGAAGTGTGGGGAGAAGAAAGAAAGAAAGAAAGAAAGAAAGAAAGAGAAAAAAAGAAACGATAGAGACATTAAAGAAAGGAAAATGATGGAGAGGTTAAAAGACGAAAAGAGAAGTATGGGGAGAAGAAAGAAAGAAAGAAAGAAAGAAAGAAACGATGGAGACATTAAAGAAAGGAAAATCGTGGAGAGGTTAAAAGACGAAAAGAGAAGTATGGGGAGAAGAAAGAAAGAAAGAAAGAAAGAAAGAAAGAAAGAAAGAAAGAAAGAAAGAAAGAAGAAAAGAAACGATGAAGACATTAACGAAAGGAAAAATGGTGGGTAGGCTAAAAAACGAAAAGAGAAGTATGGGGAGAAGAAAGAAAGAAAAGAAAGAAAGAAATAACGAAAGAAAGAAAGAAAGAAAAAAAGAAACGATGGAGACATTAAAGAAAGGAAAATGGTGGAGAGGTTAATAAACGAAAAGAGAAGTATGGGGAGAAGAAAGAAAGAAAGAAAGAAAGAAAGAAAGAAAGAAAGAAAGAAAGAAAGAAAGAAAGAAAGAAAGAAAGAAAGAAACGATGGAGACATTAAAGAAAGGAAAAAAAAAAAGAGGTTAAAAGACGAAAAGAAAAGTATGGGGAATACTTAAAAAAGAAAATGGTATGGGAAAAAAAGAAAAGAAAGAAGGAAAGAAAGAAAGAAAGAAAGAAAGAAAGAAAGAAAGAAGAAGTCGTATGAAAAAAGAGAAAGGACAGACTTTACGAAAGAAGGACAGAAATCTGCGACGAGTCATTTGCTCTTATGGAGACGCGTTTGTCATTGGAAAGATATGACGAGATCCAGACAAAATCCCCAAAATTTGAAAAACTCAGCCACGATGACTGTACGAATGGCTCAAACCTTGACCAATTAATATTCCGAAGCAGATATAATAATTAATCTCATCAGAGGACATTTTTTTAATCATTTCACCCGAGCAAGGCAGTAGTGAGACAGAAACAAAACAGCGCAAAACATAATCAATATATTTTTTTTCAGAAAATGAAAGAAGAGGTAAAAAGAAAAAACCACTTCGTTAAATAATTAAATGGTGGACGAATACTTTTCCGAAAAGCGATAGGAGACTAACAGGGCGATAGTCAGGGGGACCAGAAGGCTTTCCAGTGTTCTTAGAAACTGGAACTACAGAGGAGGACTTCCAACGAACTGGAAAATAAGAAGCAGCGTGGCAATAGTTATAAAATCTGGAGGACAACGACTGAGAAAAACCTCCATTTGCGTTATGGGGAGAAGAAAAGAAGCCACAATTCTTCGCCCTGGGTATGGCGGTAAACTACATCCGCATCATGGGTAAGACGATAAACTACATCCAACAGCTAGGCCTCTGATCAGGAGGTTTTGAGGATCATGGAACCACCTCTTAATTGCTGGTGTCCTCTGGTTCAACCTGACGTGGGGTGGTAGCACATGTTAGGGTCCCAGTTATGGGCAAATAGTTAACCACCAAACTTGTGTAAAAGTAGGTTTTAATACCAGAAATATTTTGTAATAAAAAAAATTATTACCAGCAATAATTTTTGAAGTAAAAATTATTATCAGCATATAGTGATCATGGCTCTCCACAATTTCCTATCGTTTGTAGCTCTTAATAAATTTTATCTTTTTCTTATTTCTCTTAAACCCTGTTCTGCTATCCATTTACTCAAGCTCATTCTTCGTCTTCTATGTGCCGTGTCTCTTCAGGACATTGGCGATCATGGCTCTCCACAATTTCCTCTCCTTTGTAGCTCTTAATAAATTTTTGTCTTTTCTTATTTCTCCTAAACCCTGTTCTGCTATCCATTTACTAAGCTCATTCTTCGTCTTCTATGAAAGCCGTGAAAGAAAAGAAGGACATTGGCGAAAGAAACGATGGAACATTAAAGAAATTTCCCTCCTTTGTAGCTCTTAAGAAATTTTGTCTTTTCTTATTTCTCCTAAACCCTGTTCTGCTATCCATTTAAGAAAGCTCATTCTTCGTCTTCTATGTGCTAAAAAACGAAAAGAGAAGTATGTCTCTTCAGGACATTGGAGATCATGGCTCTCCACAATTTTGGTAGCTCTTAATAAATTTTGTCTTTTCTTATTTCTCCTAAACCCTGTTCTGCTATCCATTTACTCAAGCTCATTCTTCGTCTTCTATGTGCCATGTCTCTTCAGGACAGAAACGATCATGGCTCTCCACAATTTCCTCTCCTTTGTAGCTCTTAATAAATTTTGTCTTTTCTTTATTTCTCTAAACCCTGTTCTGCTATCCATTTACTCAAGCTCATTCTTCGTCTTCTATGTGCCCGTGTCTCTTCAGGACAAGAAAGATCATGACTAGAAATCAATTTCCTATCCTTTGTAGCTCTTAATAAATTTTGTCTTTTCTTAAAGGAAAAACCCTGTTCTGCTATCCATTTACTCAAGCTCATTCTTCGTCTTCTATGTGCGTTATGTCTCTTCAGGACGTGTGCGATCATAGCTCTCCACAATTTCCTCTCCTTTGGAACCTCTCTTAATAAATTTTGTCTTTTTCTTATTTCTCCTAAACCCTGTTCTGCTATCCATTTACTCAAGCTCATTCTTCGTCTTCTATGTGCCCGTGTCTCTTCAGGACATTGGCGATCATAGCTCTCCACAATTTCCTGTCCTTTGTAGCTCTTAATAAATTTTGTCTTTTCTTATTTCTCCTAAACCCTGTTCTGCTATCCATTTACTCAAGCTCATTCTTCGTCTTCTATGTGCCGTGTCTCTTCAGGACATTGGCGAAGAAAGCTCTCCACAATTTCCTCTCCTTTGTAGCTCTTAATAAATTTTGTCTTTTCTTATTTCTCCTAAACCCTGTTCTGCTATCCATTTACTCAAGCTCATTCTTCGTCTTCTATGTGCCGTGTCTCTTCAGGACATTGGCGATCATGGCTCTCAATTTCCCTATCCTTTGTAGCTCTTAATAAATTTTGTCTTTTTTGTTATTTCTCCTAAACCCTGTTCTGCTATCCATTTACTCAAGCTCATTCTTCGTCTTCTATGTACCGTGTCTCTTCAGGACATTGGCGATCAGAAGCTCTCCACAATTTCCTCTCCTTTGTAGCTCTTAATAAATTTTGTCTTTTCTTATTTCTCCTAAACCTGTTCTGCTATCCATTTACTCAAGCTCATTCTTCGTCTTCTATGTGCCGTGTCTCTTCAGGACATTTTGATCATGGCTCTCCACAATTTCCTACAGCTCTTAATAAATTTTGTCTTTTTCTTATTTCTCCTAAACCCTGTTCTGCTATCCATTTACTCAAGCTCATTCTTCGTCTTCTATCCGTGTCTCTTCAGGACATTGGCGATCATGGCTCTCCACAATTTCCTGTCCTTTGTAGCTCTTAATAAATTTTGTCTTTTTCTTATTTCTCCTAAACCCTGTTCTGCTATCCATTTACTCAAGCTCATTCTTCGTCTTCTATGTGCCGTGTCTCTTCAGGAGGATTGGCGATCACGAGCTCTCCACAA